CATTCCTGCCTGCTCAGCTGTGTTAGTGCTGCTTATGTCACATTTTACAAAACCTGCTGCATATCATGCAGATCATTTTTTGTATCATAAACAAGGATTTCATATCATTAACCCTAACCTCCAAGTTTAAAATCAGGGCCTGTGGTGTGCTGACTATGTAATAAACATAACCTTAGAAACATTTTTCAATGCCAATAATTTCTCATTAAAACCTTGAAACTGAAACAAAGTTTTCTTTTTGTAGGTAAGCTCTATGGAAGAGGATCTACTGATGACAAGGGTCCAGTGTTGGCCTGGTTTAACTGCATTGAAGCGTATCAGAAGATCGGAAAGGTACAGTTACTGCCAGATTTAAGCTGGCCAACAAAAGGTGTTTCAAGTTCAGATAGTTTAAAGATGATATGATATTTTAGTGTGTCCTAAAGAATCAACCCTGTGGCCTGACATGCTAAGATGGGCTTGTTTGAAAACTAAATTGAAATTACTGACAGGAGTATATTGAGGTGTGAATTTTTATTCCAGTATCTGAAAATGTATACCATTACTTCTTATCAAGGTTTTTATTTTGTTTTTGTACAGTGATGATAAAGCAGAATAGCTACTATACAGCACTATTCTAAAAGGATATGTGGGTCATTTGTATCATTTTAAAAATATGATTTTAGCTTGATCTGTTGAGTTTTTCCTTACTTGGTGCTTTCTGATATGGCTCTCTGGATCTTCTGATAATTAGAGTAAATCTTTAGCAGGAATTTCATTAATGGGTGTTTAGTCAGAACAAATAAATCCCAGCTGGTGAATGTACAGTATTTATTTTTAAACATGCATTCCTGCTACCTGCTATTCACATTTATTCAGTGGAGCACCCACAATTTCATTGTACATGTACAATGATAATAAAGTGCTATTCTATTCTATTCTATTCCTGTGTTAAAGTACACCACTGCAGATCGTTTGTTGTCAAGAGATTATTTCAACTCTAGAAAATGAGCCTGAATTTTTTTCTTATGTATCTCTCTTCTTGTTGCAGGACCTTCCCATCAACATCAAATTCTGCTTCGAGGGGATGGAAGAATCTGGATCTGAGGGTCTGGATGATCTTGTGTTTTCTAGAAAGGACACTTTCTTTAAAGACGTGGACTACATCTGCATCTCTGACAACTACTGGCTGGGCAAGAACAAACCCTGCATCACCTACGGCCTGAGAGGAATCTGCTATTTCTTCCTTCAGGTGAAGTCCTGTTGGATTACTGTTGGTGGGGGGTGGGGACAGTGTTTCATTATCAGAAGGGCATACTTGAGCTTTTCGTGTTTTTTAAAATAATGTTTTACATTCCAACCTCAAGGTGGAGTGTGCTGAAAAGGACTTGCACTCAGGGGTGTTTGGTGGCTCTGTTCACGAGGCCATGACCGACCTCATCGCACTTATGGGCAAGTGAAGCTGATAATTGTGATTTTTGGTCTCACCGACCTTATTTTACAGCAGTTTAGAGTTTTAATCATGTGTTTGACTTCCTGCACAGGCTCCCTGGTTGACAAAAGGGGTAAGATTTTGGTTCCTGGGATCTATGACAGTGTGGCGCCTCTGACAGCAGAGGAGCAAAAGCTGTACGAGAAGATCGACTTTGACTTGGATGAGTACTGTAAAGATGTGGGGGTTGACCAGCTGCTGCATGACACAAAGGCAAAGGAATTATTTATGTTGTTCGCATCACTCATTGGTGGAAATGTGCTGTATAATTTTGGGTCATTCACACTTTTTGAACCTATTGTTCTTTATTTCTTCCACCATAGGAACAAATCCTCATGCACCGTTGGAGATATCCTTCTCTTTCCCTTCATGGTATTGAGGGGGCTTTCTCTGAAGCAGGAGCCAAGACGGTTATTCCTCGCAAGGTCATCGGCAAGTTTTCCATCCGCCTTGTGCCTGACATGGATCCCAAAGTTGTGGAGAAGCAGGTAAACACTGTGATAGGTAACAATGATGGCATATAGCACTCACCTAAATAATGTAGCAGAAGTCGCTCTGTATCTCTGCCACTTATTGGTAGTTTGTTGCTCAGATGATTTGCTTAGCCATGCTTTTTTTAAGAAGTCCGTGAAACAAACTGCAATGTATAAAATTGAGAAATATTATGAATATATTATATTATGTAGTAAAAAACTGTGGAGGGATTTAATGTGAATGAAGGTAAGTTTATTTAGACAGAAAACCAATATCACAGATCATAGCATTAAAATATACAGGCAAACCAACCAATCAAGTCACTTTCTTTTGCCTTACCTAATACAGTTCAACCCTTTGCACACATAGTGTTTTTTTTTTTAAACTGACTCTGAATTAACATGACAAAGAGATTTAGTTAATCTAAATCTGAACCTGGATTGACTGTGGGCCACTTGGAAGTAGCCACATGATTAGCTTCAGTTTGTTTCTGCATAAAAGCTCCAACAAGTCTAAGTTATCTTCCCCTCTTCAAGGTCATCGATCATCTGCAGAAGAAGTTTGCTGAACTGGGAAGCCCCAATAAACTGAAAGTGAACATGGGCCACGGGGCCAAAGCCTGGGTCTCAGACTTCAACCACCCACACTACATGGCAGGGAGAAAGGCCATGAAGACAGGTACAAGGACTTAATGATAAAAGCTGTTAGATTAAAGAGGGAGTTCACTCAATCTCCCCCATTTCTTTTATTTTGCTAAAAAGTCTAAATCAGTTCTGTGTTTTTTGTATTGCAAAAGTGTAAAACACTTTCCCCTGCAATGGTACAACTGACTTTCTTACAGTTTACATGTTGATACTTTTTCTTTAAGAGGAAAATATTTTTTCATGTTTCAGCTCCTGTCCTCGGTAGATGTTTCAGGACATTAAAAACAAAGACAAGCAAATTTTATAAGTTTTTTGTTATATGCATGTTTTTGTGAAACCTTTTAAGTCTTTTTCAGATATTTTCACTGATAGGAGTGTATCCAGTTTTGTTGTGATGAAAAAAGTCTTTTCCTCCTCGTTGTGCTGTAGTCTTCGGGGTCGAACCTGATCTGACTCGCGAGGGCGGCAGCATCCCGGTCACCCTGACCTTCCAGGAGGCCACAGGCCGTAATGTCATGCTGCTTCCTGTAGGGTCCTCTGATGATGGAGCTCACTCTCAGAATGAAAAGATCAACAGGTTGGTCACAGCTCACACCGTTTCACTTCTTTTGAAATGTGGAACAAGTAGGAACTATTGATAAAATGGATGAAATATTGCAGTAAAAGAAGATGATCATGTTTGTCATCTCCAGATTATTTCTGTTCTAAACTTAATGACAGGTAAAGTGAGTTTTTTAATTATAAACCATTATCATCGCTTTATTTCTCCATTTTCAGATCAAACTACATTCAGGGAGTCAAGCTGCTGGGAGCATATTTCCATGAGGTCTCTCTGCTGGAGTGATTTGATGGTGTCTCATAATGACAGGTGTAATATATGCTCGTCCTTCATGTCAGACCATAAACTTTGTGGGTTTACCTTTCACAATGAATGGTTTTATACACCCTGCTGATAATAAATGTGTCTTTCTTACTTTATTTGAGTTGTTTTTCTTTTCATTTCATAATGTAACAAGATGTACTTTTGATGCAGTGCACTGCTTACCATCATAACCGACTATAACAGGGTAAAATGTTGATAAGCTTAATTTAGAAGCTGTCAAATGTGATTGAGGCATCAGTGATAGCAGCATGACCAAAGGCTGGTACTATTTGGCGATGGAGATGGTTGTGTCAGGAAATATCAAGCTCATAAATAATGAGACTTCCATACTGGATCATTTAGGATTAACAACAACCACCTTGGTGATATTGGCCAATACGGTGTCCGTGGAAACTGTGATGCTGTTTTCCAAAGACAAGAGGAAAGAGAAGGTGGAAAGCATGTTAGGAGGCAGCAAGAGAGAGAGAAGAAATGGAGCTGCAGGAGGAATAATGTTAGACCTCAGATGAGGTTCATCATACAATGTGACAATAAGGTCCACAAAAAACAAAACAAAATCAAAATCAAAAAAATAAAAAAAATATCAAAAAAATCTGCCTCTCTATCTGGACTCTAGCTGTTACGCATGTGGTCAGGATTTGATGGTAAAGTAGTGTTTTGTGTTCCTCTGGACACAGAGGAGATGAGCTGTTTGTAATGAAGTAATGAAATAGTTTGTAATGAAGCAGCCCTCCTCTAGATGAATCCTGTCTAAAAACTGAAATGATAGAAGTCAAAATTTACTAAAGAATAAAGGTGCAGGTAAGTATCCTGCAGGAAAAAAATTAATTTAGAGAAAGAGAAGGAGAAGATGCAGGAAGGAGAGCGTTGTAAATGTTATACAAGAACTTATGAAGACGTTCAGACATATATTCTTTTATATTCTTTAATTCAGTCTGATATATTAGCTATAAATGAACAATAAAAGTAAACTTGCCACTGTGGTGAAACGAGTTGTGAAACAAACAAGGGTCAGTTACTTAAACCAGTAGCACTTGATGTCTGCTTTGAGACATCGCATTAATTCATTATTGCTATTTTTTTTATATGCCTGAAGTCCTGACAATTATAATAACAAAATGCGCATCTTATAGAAATTTCATGTTTACAGTATAATGTATCCCATAAACAGGCATAGATCAAAGAGCTGAGTCCTTTTAAACTGTCCATGTCTCTTTAATGAAGGCGGGTCAAAACTAAGCGGAAGTGCCTGCTTGACAAATGAGGTGACGAGTTTTAAGAAATTTGACGTTTTGCAAGATAAATGTACGTGCTTCACAGCTATGTATTGAAGGCGCTGTTGTTTCATTGCTATATTTTCATTTCATCATTAATGATTAAAAAAAATAATACTTGAACTCAATAGTTTGACACCAAAAAAGCAATTTTGTGGGATCGGAGGATACAGGAAAGAACCTGGCAACACAAGCTGACTTCCGGCGCGGGAAAATCGTAAACAACACAGCGGAAGGAGCTTTGATAGTTACTGTATACTTCACAAAAATGTCTTCATGTCATCTGCCATACTGGCAGAGATGTTAATTGGAGTGAGAAGAAGCTAAAGCAGCTAATAGAGGATAAAAATATAAGCTTACGCTGCTACTTTCTTTGAAAAAAGAACAATAACGCCAATGTTATAACAAAAACTCCCGACAGCAGTTTGAAAACAGCCCTGTCCACCTCAGCATGGATCGCTACAATGACGTGAAAGTTTTGCTGAAAAACTGGGAGCAGGGGTTTGTCAAAGAGCACAAGAGAAAACCCAACAAGGTGAGTTAACTGTTAACAACAACGAGCTTTGTTAGCATGCTACCTGTTTTAGTATTATTGTTTATGAACGCTGAATGGTACATTTTTCAGGAGGACATTGATCGGGCCCCAGAGGAGACCAGAAGTGAGTGCTCGCCATCAGTATGAATTTCCAGCTGTAGTGTAAATAAGCGAAGAAGATTATTATTTATTTGGTGTCTTCCTTGCAGACTTGTATAAAGAATACCGCAGCTTAAAACAAGCCAAAGAGAACAGCAATGAGGCCGCCAATGGGCATACTCACAGCCAAAAGGTAATGAGGAGGCTCTCTTTGTGTCCATCGTTGTCTGACGTTTGTGTTTTAATCTCAAATGTAATAAATATCTAACATATCTGAACAAATCTCTCAATGAGGCTGTTGCTTTGTTTTCTGTCTCTGTCTATGAAGGAGTCAGACTGTTGGGGTTCCCACTTGAACCGCAGTGCATTGCCGACATCATCTCCCAAACTGACATCCCAGGACAGAGACAGTCTGAAGGCGTCTTCTCAGTATTATGGCCTAAAGCTTAAAAACAACTTGTCTTCAATCAGTAAGGTGAGAATCACCACACCTAATTCAACTTGTTGTGCTAAGACTGATTTGCCTGCAAAAGGACCATATTCACTTGTTGATGACCATCTGTGAGGATGATGACATTAACCAGTGGTAGTTAATTTCATTTTCCCTACATGTTGTGTTGTGATACAAAGATAATGCAAATGATAGAAATAATTTAAGGCTAATTTTTTCAATGATTTCTATCATTTCCCTGGATTACATGTGGACAGAAAACAATAAAATAAACTAATGAGATATTGAAATTAGGAAATTACCAAAGTAGCCATTATATAATAATGTGTTTGTTCTGCTGTTATTTATTTATTATTAATGAAGGAGAGGCCTGTGTCACTGAAGAAAATGCACCGTCCTGGTCGGCTACCTCTGGACTCCTTGAAAGATGAACAAACTATAAGAACAAAGAGCGTCACTTCTCCTGCTGCCACTGCCAAGACCACAACCACTGACTCTGAATTCAGTCCCTTTTCACCAAGGTAATTAGATCAAGGAAAATAATTTCATTTCATGTTAACAATAAGTGTTATTCAGTGATAAGTAAGTTATTTTGTGAGCATAGATGCTAATTTACTTTTGGACCAAAGTGATGTGCTGTTCTTTCTTAAGAGCCGAGCAGCTGTATTTGGAATTAAGAAAGGGAGAGTGAAAGTTGGAAATCCTTTATACAAGAATAGAAAAGATAACATAGACGTGGATAACTGTTTCTAAATCCTTTAATGAAAAAAATGACTTTAATTTAGTGATGGTTTTCAGTTTGTGAAAGCTTTTAGCTCATATGGATTACTTATATATATAACCGGAAAATAAGGAAAAGGAATTAATTTTAATTTATACCCGAGATACTATTTCTCTCATTTTTATTATAAAAATTTGATTGCTTTTGTTTTTAACACTACTATTAGGATGAATGAATTGCAAAATAAAGCAGTTTGGATATTGGAGAATCCAATATCGTCTTTTACTTTTGAGTGTTCAAGCAAGATGGTTACTAAGTAGTTGTTTTGCTTGTGCCACTTTAAAAAGCTTGAATAATGTGACTTTGTGACGATTTATGTGAGCTCTCCTTGTTATCACGTCTTTGCTTACAGAATGAATCCTTGCCTGGGATCTCTGGCTTCAAAGACGCTCCAACCAGCAGAGCCTGAAGAGCCGTTTCAACCATTTGAAACGTTCAGACAGGACAATGATGAAGCTGCAGATGCTGCTGGTAGCTGTAGCATTGGCAAAGACACTAGTTCACAATTCACTACCTCTGCTTTAAGTCCTTCTCCCATCAGATCCTCCACCCTGTTGTCATCCTTATCCCCTGAGCGAAATTTAGGGGCTTCAAAAGTAGGAGCCAGAACTATGGGAAGTGAAACTAAAGGCATTTTAGGAGATGTAAAAGAAAATGCTGAAACATCAAAAACTCAGAATAGAGGTACCAATTCTGCAGGTGGTGAAAGTGTAATTGGCTTTAAGGGAAGTCCACAGATTTGTGGAGGTTTCAGAGGAGGCAGAGGCCTTGGAGCAAGGTCTTCTCCTGCCAGCAGGCTGAGCCTTGTGGACAAGAAGTGGCTAGAGAGGTGTCAGGTGTTTGGAGAGATGGGAGCAGAGGAGAAGCCTGGAGCAGGCAACCAGGAGATGAATGTGGAGCAACGAGGGATGGCAGAAAAGGGAGAAAAATTAAAAGGGGAAATGCAAGGAGTCGAAAGAGAAGCAAAGGAAGAGATGGATATAGAGAGAGAAAGACAGGAGTCATTAGAAATGGGAAGAGGTAAAAAGTCTGAGAGTGTAACAGGGGATAAAATAGTCACTACTAGTGCTACAAACTCTGGAAAAAGCAAGAAAGAAGGGGTTGGCAAAGAGAAAAGGAAGGGACAGGAGGAGATGGAAAGAGGGCAGACATCACATATAACAGCTGATGATGACAATGAAAGCAGTCCAAAAACTAAAGCTTCAAAAAATAGGAGGAAGAAGAGGCAGCGAGAAGTGGGTGACACGCAGGGAAACACTACAGAAGAAGGAGGAGTAAAAAAGAGACGGAGAGGTGGTAGAAAGAAAGAGGAGAGCTCTGACGTTAGCCCCAGCTCAGCTCACGGAGGAGCAGGAAAGAAAAAGAGAAGCAAGAGAAAAGAAGGTGATGGAGAGGGTGAAGGAGAGGAAGAAACCAAGGGACCAAAAAAGGCAAGGGGGGATTTGGAGGGTGCATTGTATGTCTTATTTTAAGCTTATATAAGATTATCTGATGTAGCTTTGCTTCTGTCTAGATGCCCCAAGAGAACTTGTTTGGAGACATAGAAGAAGAATTTGGAGTTAACAAAATCTATCGGGCACAGTCTGCTAGAGCCAGGTAGGACAAAGTGCATGTGAGGAAAGCAGAATGTCTTTGAAAGGTTTCTACATGTGTTTGTTTTCCTGTTTTAACAGAGTCGCAAAAGGAGCCGAGGGTAACTTTGTGAAAATAAACCTGAAGAAGAAATCTCATGTCAAAGGCTATGCCCTGAGAGGGATTGCTCTGCGCAGACAGGTATATTACATTTATTTATTTGTTTGTGTGTGTGTGTGTGGTTATCATTGTGCATGAAAGTTTAAGGCCTATTTTTTTAGGTTTACATATCAAAAAGAAGTGAGAAGAAGCGCACACTTTCTCAAAGAGTTTATGCTTATATCATGTATAACACGTCCTTGTTATAATACAAACTGAGTAATTAAAATGCATTTTTTATATTTTCTTGGTGTCATAAATGTCTTCTTGGTGTTGCAGTTGTACATGCAGAAGTTCCAGCTGAAGGGAGAGCGTTTCGGTGGAGGTGGGGGATATTTTGGCAGAGGAAGATGGGGGGGCTTCAGAGGGGGTTTCAGAGGGGGCCTCAGTCGACAGGGTGACACCTGCTACAAATGTGGAGGGACCGGACACTGGGCTATTGACTGCAAAGGGCGAGGTGATGCAGGAACAACAATAACTATTATTAAACGCATATCTCACCTTGTTGTGATTCCTTCACAATGCTCTAGACAGTCCTTAGTGTCGTCAACACGGCAGTCACACCCATAGTAAGAGGAAGTCAGTTAGCAAAAAGATTACTTGTAGGGAGGGTGGCTGTAAAGAGAGAAGAGCTCTCTTCAAAGCTCCAGCGACGCCCTTCAGTTCGTCTTTTATCTGAAGGATGACGGAGTTGCTCTGCTAGAGTCCAAAAATAAAGTTTCAGAGCTGGAAATCAGCATCACAGGTCTGTTAAAAGTTTTGATATGTTTTGCAGCCCCTCCACCTCCTGTTGCTGACGAGAAGGCGGTTGAGGAGGAGCCGTTTGAATTACCCACCCTGGAGGAAGTTGCCAGGGCAACTGGGACACTACAACCTCAGCCACAGGGTACATCTGTTGACTTGATTGCATGCCGCTCTCTGACAGAACTAGTCGGCTTATGCATGACTGCATAGTTCCAGTGTCATAAATGCACTGTTTAAGTTTTACTTTGTGCATCATATTCATGACATTATGTGAAATTTAGTTTTATCTTTTATCTGGTTAATAACTGTTCTTACTTTACAATAAGAGCAGTTATTAACCTTATGTTTTCTACAGCTAACACATAGACTGGAGGTGTATGTTTACATCTGCTCATTAATGGAAAAAAGTTTTTAACACTTTGTTCATGTAAATTTGTGCACATTTATTTTTAGAGCTTAAATTTGAGCTGTTTTAAGTAACGAAGCTGTCAAATACAGATGTTTTGTGTTCCTAAGTCGTGCGCGTTTAGACCCTGATGCGTTTGTGTGTTCCAGTGGCAGCATCCACTTTTAAAGAGGAGCAGAATGATCAGGAAAAGGAAGTGGACAGTAAGCGTAAAGATGAAGTGCTGCTGAATGTGATTCGCCCCGATTATGAACGACCTCCTCCTCCTCCACCCATGGAGCCGCTTTATGAGCTCACAGAGGATGGAAAAGTCCAGGGTAAGGACTGCACACTGATCTCATGAAATCTGAAAAATAGACATACAGTACACTGGCCTAAGAACTGATTTTTCTCTTTATATTAAGAAACACATGAAGATGTTTATTCGGCTCTAAGAGATCTTGGCTATCAGTCATTTCGACCAGGACAGGAGGAAGCCATCATGAGGATCCTGTCGGGTATGTAGTGAGCACACTCATGAGCTCATCTGCACACACTCATTTGCTAATTTACAATCTCTCTGTACATGTTTGTGTGTTTCCACCTTTAGGTCTGTCTACCCTCGTAGTGTTATCAACAGGGATGGGCAAATCGTTGTGCTACCAGCTCCCAGCTTACCTCTATGCTCAGAGATCCAAATGCATCACTCTGGTCATATCGCCTCTCGTCTCTCTAATGGACGACCAGGTAAACACTTGTACACCTGATGGCTGTAGGCACAGAGCAAATCTAATTTCTCTAAACTAATGATAGAGTTGAGAATGTATTTGCTGAATATCTTTTTGTGTTTCTGTGCAGCTGTCTGGCCTGCCAGCCAAGCTGAAGGCGGCCTGTATCCACTCCAATATGACAATGAAACAGCGAGAAGCAGCGATAGAAAAGGTAAAAGGAAGTGCATCAAGAATAAGATATGAGTGAGACTGAGCCACGTTGATTACAGCTTCTTTGTTAATGTCATTGAAAAATGAACAGCCTCTTATTGGATCCATGAATCCAGTCACACTAGATGCAAGTCTTTCTTCTCCTGCAGTCCCAGTTCTTTGGCTGGGATGCAAATAAATGGTTTAAGATAGTTAGTCATACAAACATATTTATTTATTTTATTTTTAAATATTCTGCGACACTCAGATGCCCTTTTTTATGCCAGTGTGAATACAAATATCCACATATGGTCTTAAATCAGATAGAGTTGGAATTTCAAATCAGTCAGATCAAGGTGTGTGCAGATGTGGTCCCAGCTCCATATGCTCGCACACCTCTGCACAGAAGTAACAGCTGTTTTCTCCACAAAAAGTCAAAATGTGTAGTTTGTCCCTCCTCATCTTTCTGCTTGCGATTTGCCGACTTCTACAGCACCTTATCTTCTAATTTCAGGCGTGAATTAATTGACTTCTATGCTTATTTGAAACTTTACTATATCATTGATTATTTTCCGTTCATACCTTGTATTCACCTCCTGCTATTTTTCCAGGTGAAGTCAGGCCAGGTATGTCTGCTGCTGCTCTCTCCAGAAGCCCTTGTTGGGGGAGGAGGTTCAGGTTCAGGGTGTCTCCCTTCTGCTCAGGAGCTCCCTCCTGTGGCCTTCGCCTGTATAGATGAAGCTCATTGTGTCTCAGAGTGGTCCCACAACTTCAGACCCTGCTACCTAAGACTCTGCAAGGTGGGTTGATGATTTCTGGAGATAATTGTACTCTAACACAAGTGATGTTAATTCTGCTACTTATTCAAACAACTCACTGTGTTGAACTTTCCAGTTTGAAACAAGTAAAAAGTTCTGTCAAATTTATGTAAACTGGCTTCTTTAGAACAGTGGTATCACTCTTGATTATCTCTTTAAGTCTTTAATACAGTGCTTGTTTGTAGGTGTTACGAGAGCGTCTGGGAGTACGATGCTTGCTAGGACTCACAGCTACAGCCACTCTGTCCACTGCTCTGGACATTGCTAAACATCTGGAAATCAGTGATCAAGCCGGCATTGCTGTCAGATCTGCAGCTGTGCCTCCAAACCTGAATCTTTCTGTGTCCACGGATAGAGAAAAGGATCAGGTCAAATGAGTGTTTTTGTGTCCTGACTGACATTTATTTGTGGATTTTTAGTAGTTCTAGATCCAAGAGTCCTTCTCTTACTAAAATGAGTTTGCAATGTGTGCAATTGTCGTCTTAGGCTTTAGTCTCCTTGTTGAAAGGTGATCGGTTTGGTTGTCTTGACTCGATCATCGTCTACTGCACCAGAAGAGAGGAGACGGTGCGTGTGGCGGCACTTCTCCGAACCTGCCTTCAAGGGGTGCTGTTAAAAGAAAACAAGAAGAGCAGCAGCAGCAGTCGGTCAGAAAACAACCCTGTAGGGCAGAGAAAGAAAGAACTGGGTAAGTGTTTTTTAAAAATGTGATTAATTAAAAACTAGTAAGGAGAGAGTTGATATGGCGGGGGAACAAGTGAAATATGTATGTGGAGCCTATGCTGTGTTATGGAAATCTGTGGTACATAACTTAAGATAACATTAATTACAGGTGAAGTCTATTTCCTTCAGTCTCCATGACTTTGTGGTTTTGTCCTTTATGTATTTAGCTCGGAAGAAGATTCGTAAACCACTGAAATGGCAGGCTGAATCGTACCACGCCGGCCTGTCGGGGTCAGAGCGGCGACGCGTGCAGAACAACTTCATGTGCGGAGAGCTCAGGATCGTGGTGGCCACAGTGGCGTTTGGCATGGGCCTGGATAAATCTGACGTTCGTGGTATCATCCATTACAACATGCCTAAGGTGGGCAGTGCTCGGATCTATCCTGACTCGTGTCTCCTCATACTGGACTTGAAAATACATTAAATATTTTTTAACTTTCTCTTTTAGTCTGTTTTGGGGCATCTTATCCTGTTTTTCTTGTTGACAGAGTTTTGAGAGTTACGTTCAGGAAATTGGGAGGGCAGGAAGAGATGGAGAGCCGGCTCACTGTCACCTTTTCCTGGACCCGGAGGTGAGTCTTAAAATTGTGATTACTTTCTTCATTACTGACGTCAATGATGTAGTTACAGAAAGCAGTACTGATGCAGTGGGATTGCAGTTCTTGGAAAAAATAGGTCTTTGTACACATTTGTTGTGATGGTCGACTGTGCTTAAGAAATGAACTTCCTCAATGTCAGCTGGCAATTTCAAACAAATCCCGTTTTAAATACTTTATAAATAATGATCTTTGGGGGCGTTCTGTGTCGGTGTAGATAAAATGACCCCAAATAAACCAGAGAGAAAGTGGAATCATGAACCTTCTGTCATATTCACAATCAGTTTGTAATAAAATGTTTGTGTAAGTAAGAGAGAGGAGTTGAGATGCTCCCGCTCATAAAGGGATGGACATGGTCAGCACAATACACATGTAGACTGTAGTGTTTAAGTGATTCTCAGTGGGTAATGAGAGGTCCAAAATGTGCCATGAAAATATCACACTGTTACACCACCAACAATCATCTTTCTTCTCCATTCTGGTGCTCTGTTTGAACTTCAGCAGGTTCCAACCGAACGTGTGCATGTGAAAAATGCATAGAGTTGCTGTCGTGTTGAGTGTGATTGTCTGATGATGAGATATTTGGACTGACAAGGAGCAGTACAGGTGAACCTAATAAAGTGACCAGTGAGTGTATATTGCATATACGAATAATATCATGTCATTCTGTGTGTGATTGTAGGGTGGAGACCTCCATGAGCTCCGTCGCCATATCTACGCAGACACAGTGGACTACTATACGGTGAAAAGACTGGTGCAGAAAGTTTTCCCAGCTTGCAAATGTAAACAGATACACCAGAAACAGCAGGAACTCTTCAAGGTAACTCCTCCTTCGTCTGTCTGTGAGTGTGTTTTAGCCTGAAGAAATGTCTTTGTCTGTAGAACTCAAACTTTCTATGAAGTAAAGGACTGTGTGTCTGTGTGTTTGTGTAGGATGTTGAAGACTCTGAGCTGTTGGAGGTGATGGATGTGTGCGATCAGGAGAGCAGCATGAATTCTTCTGCTCAGCAAGACATGTCAGACAAAGATGAATCACAACCTGCTGCTGCACCTGTAAGTAAAGTGGGAACTGGTCTCTGATCGCTTCACACAATAGAGAAATTTAAACAAAAAAATAATGAAATGCTAATTTCATAATTACTTTTTTAGTACATAATTTTTTTTGGTAATATGACTATTTTTACTGCAAGGAATCAGATCTCAGTTCTGCTGGGCTAGCCATCCGAGAAGACAACGATAAAAGAGAGGAACGAAATGAGGATGAGATGAAAAAACAGACAGAAGACCAGAGAGATAACCGGGAGAGGGACCAAGAAGAGGAGCGCTGTGATTGGCCCAGAGAGCGAGTCTGTCACACGCACGAAAGAGCGATTCCCATCCAAGAGACCATCGAGGCTCTGGACATCACGGAGGAAGGTGAGTGGAAACGTACACTAAAAAAATCACATTGATTGATAAGACAGTAAAATGAACAGGTGTAGGCTGATTTGTACACGGAAAGCACATTAGCATAAATCTTTAAACATTTTAAAAATTATTTCTGACTCGAGGTTAAGACAGAATTTAAGCCTGATCTCATCCACGCAGGTTGTTTAGTGGCTCGTGCGCTGAATCCGCTGAAAGCAAAAGGCCAAAAAGCTAAAGCCAAAACAGTTTGATGACCAGATTACGCTCAAACAGATGAATTTAGAAAACAAATAAAATGATACAACTGGAGCAAACGTTGCATTAAAATAAGAAAACCATCTAATAAAATCACTCGTATTTATTCTTATCTGGTTTAACAGAACAAAACAAATCGTGTAGATTACAGAAATTCAACCTAAATTTCCCAAGAAACACTCTAAAATCCAGCAAACAACAACTACTCCCAGTGTTTTTGAAATTTTAACATTTTTTATGTTTTTCCAGGTGTGGAAACGCTGCTCTGCTATCTGGAGCTGCACCCACAGCGCTTCGTGGAGCTGCTCCACCCCACTCTGTCTGTGTGTAAAGTCAGCTGCTACGATGGGCCGAGGCAGCTCCAGAAAATCACTAAAATGTATGACAACGTTGGCCGGGCACATGAACGTGTGCGTCTGTGATTGTAATGTTACTGTTAAGACGTCTTAAACTTGTCTTTTCTCTGCAGTTGTCCTCCGATCGCTGTGGTGTTGGCCAGGCGGCGGATGGCGGGCGAGCGGGTGGAGCAGTGCGACCAGCTTGAGTTTGATGTTGTCGAGGTCGCGGACACTATGGGATGGCAGCTCCCTCTCGTGAAGAGAGGACTCAGGCAGCTGCAGTGGAGCACCGATAGAGGTTTGTTCATGAGTTCATGTTTGCTTTGTTTTCATTTAGTATCGATTTAGTATCCACACATTCACAGCAATAACAATCCAGGCAGTCGCCATGGAAAATGTTTCAGGGAGGATCTCAGCCCTTATAAAGTCTGAAAATGTCTTTAACATACATTTAGTAATAGAAGACCTTAAAAAGTATTAAGCTGCCTTGAATTCGGTTCAGAAGGGTCTCACATCACTGAGAGTATGAGAGGCGGAAACGGGCTGCCATAGATACTTTTACTGTACCTACAATTTTCCTGACATCAGTTTGTGTTCTTAAGACAATCTGACCTTTTATATGTATTTTCCTTGCAAGTGTAGTTTAATTTAAAGTTTTACTAAAAGCCCTTAAAAAGTACAACTTGCTTATACATGTAGGGATGCCCTGTTGCCTTCTAACGTCAGTGTCACTCTCTGATCGACCCTCTGTGGTTTTAGGGTCTAACCTTGAGTCTAAATTTAGTTCTGTGAGATGCTTGTTGGATGTCTCCCTTCTTTTCCTGCTGGGCTGCAGTAGAAATAATCAGTCAAAAATGCTTTTGTTTCAGCTGGGGGACGTAGCGGCGTCCTCGTCGAATTCTCCAGTCCTTCGTTCTACTTTCGTTCCTATGGCGACCTGAGCGATGAGGAGATAGACAGAGTCTGTCAGTTCCTCCATAAACGAGTGCAGGACCAAGAGAGAACGCAGCTGTACCAGCTGACGGCCTGTTTTAAGGCCTTCAAGAGGTACGCTAAGCTTTTTTAATTATCCGCTGATTTTATGGATTATCCACTAATTAAAACAAACACATTCTTAAATAAGATCTAGCCTGTTTTCCAGTATTGGCTAGCTTTGACCGTTTGTCTTTTTGCGTGCAGTTACCCTCTGTCTGCTTTGGTGTTTGACTTTGTGTTTGCTGTGCTTCAGTGTTGCCTTCTGCAGCGTACTGTCCTGTGTAGACGATCTGGACGAGAGCCGCAGTTTGCAGTTAAAAAGCCTTCTGTCCGAGTACTTTGATAAGAGGCGGGACGGGGACCACGCTCTCAAACCTTTTGATCTCGAGGAGCTCGACAAATATAAGGTTTTACAAAGACAAATAATGTAGAAAACTTTTCAGGAGTTGTAGTTAACGTGAAGTCTGTGAACGATTCGGCTTACCTCTGTATGTTTTAGCTGTTGGACTGGGAGGATCAAATCAGAGCCGACATCAGAAGTTTCCTCTCCAACCGAAGTGACGAGAAGTTTTCTGGAAGGGCTGTCGCTCGTATCCTCCATGGCATAGGTGAGGACGCACATGCGCACACACATTTACCTGCATAAGCGCAGGTAGTTTTTTTTCTTTTTCTTTTTTTGGACCAGAACATTTTTCTCTCCAACCCTTCTCACTGAAGTACTTCATGCTTTACAATAAATGTGGAGGTGTTTGCTTGTTTACATTCACCTTTACACATATTCAGAATGTATCCTTTTAAATGGCACCAAATTATCCAACTTAAAAAAGCTGAAGCCTGTCTGCTGTGAATAGTTGGTCACAGATTTTTTTGTTTGTCAGAACATCAACTCCAAAGCAGTGAACCTATAAACCTCTAGAGGTCGTTAGAGAGCTAATTTAGGACTTTTCAGTTTTGCTGAGATTTTAATAGTTCAAAGTGTACAAACATAAGCTAGATAGCGTCAGAAAATTGTTGCTATAGATTATCTGTCAAGGCATGGAACGAAATTACTTATGTGTTATGTAAAAAAAGAGAGAAAAAAGGTTTTGAGAGGCCTTTGTGTTGACCTGTCAGTGTGTTCAGGCTGTATGTTGTACTGGATGGACTCCCTCCTCACTACAACTGTAAACTGGGATAAATAGCTAAGAAAATAAGGAGCTGAGAAGTTTGGGGGCTCGGGAGATGACTTGCGTTGGAAGTGCCAAACAGTTTGAGATTCACTGTGCTCAGCTTATCACATGTTCACTTCTCAGCTGACCAATGGGCTCTTTATTTCAAAAGTCTAACTCCCTCCTTACACTTATCTTTTATCTTTAATTTATATAAGTTCTCAGAAAGAACATGATGTTTATAACATATCTTTTTAAGAACCCAAAGCGTTTAGACAAAAAACCTCGTGAACAGGTGACATTTTAACTACTTGTTGAAATTTCCAAAGCCGGGGCGTTACAAATCCCAGATGGGAACAGTCCCCACATAAGGACTGAAGACTTTCTGTGGGGACTCGAGAGCACGACTTTATCAGGAGAATTCGGAGTCTGGGATGGGGTGTAGGGGAGGAGAAGTTCTGATAAGTGAGGAGAAGGATTTTTAAAGAAGATATAGGATCTGACTTGATGCAGGTAAGATCTCTGGCAGCTGACTTCTGAACATACCAAAGAGGACACCAGTGCAGTGATGTAGACGAGAAAGTTATGAAGACCTCCATTAGGGTTTCAGCTGTACAGTCTGACACTAACCTGAATCTGGATTTATGCAAGAGTGTAATAACCGCAGATACAGGGATAATCGCTCTCACATTTTCCTACATTTGAATTTTATTTTACTCTTTTGGGATTCTTTGGCTGTCAACCTGAAAAAAGGTTGAGGTGGCACGTTTCTATTAAAATAAGTTTTATCCAGCACCTCCCAGAATTATAGACCTTGATCTTTAGCCTTCCTTTTGTTATTAGCCACAGTTAAACACAGCTAATAATAGTAATTGTGCATTGATATTTAACTAAGGAGAAGTTGACAGTGCGATTTATTTCTCATGTATGAATTTCACTGTTTGGCCTTTGATCCATCAGCTGTGGATGTTGAAGTAAAAACTTCTATAAACTAACGCTAAATAAATCCAACCTGTGTTTCAGGCAGTCCGTGTTATCCGGCTCAAACCTACGGCAAAGACAGACGTTACTGGAGGAAGTACATCCAGTTTGACTTCAACCAGCTCATCAGACTGGCCACTCAGGAGATCATTCGCTTCAAGTGATCGACCAGATGGTCCTATCTTTTTTTTTTTTTTTTTTTTTTTAACGTACGTCTCATTTGTTTGTATACAAAAACTAAATAAAATATATTTTTGTATCTTGGTCTTTGAGATGCATTTATTTAAAAAATAGGACAACCACAGAACAAATCTGTGGTCAGTAAACATAAAACCTCACATGTCTGTGAAGGTTCTCAGTCATTCAGGTCATCGTAGTCAAAGGAGCTTGCAAAGAAAAGCGTCTGGACTTCTTTAAGTTGCTTGAAGACGTTTCACCTCTCATCCGAGAAGCTTCTTCAGTTCTAAGGTCAAATGGTGGAGAGTCACATTGAAGAGAACGGCAAACTCAACATCGAAGTTTACTGGAAGCCCACACACACGGACCAGTACCTCCTCTTTGACTCCCATCACCTTCTGGAACACAAACTTGGAGTAATCAGCAGAGGTGTGGACTCGAGTCACATGACTTGGACTCGAGTCATTAATGTTATGACTTTAGACTTGACTTGAAAAAATGTTCTAAGACTTGTGACTTGACTTGGACTTTTACACCAATGACTTGGGACTTGAATTGGACTTGAACCAGTTTACTTGAAAAGACTTGATATTTTACCCCAAATATAAAATTTAACATGCATATTATATAGAGATTGAAAATGTGACGTCATTCACGGGTAGAACCGCAAAGGATTCTGGGAACTCGTGGCAAGCGGTACTAGCGCGCGCAGGCTTTCAATTAAAATCAGTTATACAGCGATAAAAAGAAACACAAAAATGTCAAGAAGCTGTTGTATTATTAACTGCAATAGCCGGTCGCATGACAGCCACGGGAAGCCGACGGGTAAAGAGATCGGTTGTTATCGGATTACGTCGTTGAAGAGAAATTGTTCGAGCCATGTTTCCAAAGTAACAAAGACGCGACGGATGGCCTGGATTGCAGCCATTCAAAGATCAAATATAACGTCCCAGAACACTCCAGCTCACAGGTTAGTCTGCTCCAAGCATTTACACGAAGGTCAGTGTTTTTTAGTAGTTAATACGTCATTTTTCATAACATAATTGGTGATATAGGTTACAAGCAAGTCTGGCGCTGAACAGAAATTGTCGCGCTATGCTCCTTTGTTTATTGTGCATAAATAGTGAATTGTCCTGACACAATATTGCGTTTCGCTTCTGTTATTATGGTACATTGACAAAAACATATACTTTTATTCACAGGATAAAACAGGTTTTTTGTATCACTAATTGTCCAGTACGATTACAGCATACAATATTGTTGTCACTGCTACATTTCCCTGATGGGTACCAGAAATTATTTCCACTACTAATTAATTACCGTTGAGCTCAAAGGTTATATTAATAAACTGTTAAGGAATGTGTATTTATGACGACGATTTGTGAGACTGGTAAACTTATGATACGTACGATGGTCTTTCGTTCGACACGGTGCATTTCAAGGTCCTGTACCCATCCGTCGGTAAACTGTACCTGGGCTTGTTGCTGTGACCTGAAGTTACTAAACTTCATGAGTGTATGCACTCACTCCAAGAACCGTATGATTATAAATATGCATATAAATATGCTACGATGAGATAGCTGACTTCATCTAACTAGCAAATGTTGTCCAGGCTACGTTGGTGATACAGTTTTTTTTAATGTGTATGATATTTTTGTCATGCGATTTTAAAGCTGGTCCTACAACCGCATCCAAGAATAACATGCAGCTTATCTCAGAACTGTCGGTGAAAATTATTCTTGGAGCTAGGTTTAATTGAGCTGCATTTTAAAGAGGTGCAATTTCACAATTTGTGTATATTTTCTAAGTTCACTATTTTGTCATGTGTTGAGAAAAACACAGATTTTAAAATTACATGGTCTAATATTTACATTTAGCATAACTGCAACATTATTATTATTATTTTTTTTTTAAAGACTCGAAAGGACTTGAAATTCAAAGTTTCAGACTTGTGACTTGACTCGGACTTTTACACCAGTGACTTGAGACTCGACTCTGACTTGCCTGACATTACTTGAGACTTGACTTGAGACTTGAGGATAAAGACTTGAGACTTACTTGAGACTTGCAAAACAATGACTTGGTCCCACCTCTGGTAATCAGGACCCTACACCACCGGGCAGAACATGTTCCCTCTAAGCCTGAAGGAAAAAAGAAGGAACACACACATGTAAAGGAAGTACTCAAAACATGCGGCTATCCTAAATGGGCGTTCTTAAAGTCAGCAAAGAGGCACAGAAAAGAAGACCAGACACCAGCGAAGGAGGATAAGAAAGACAGACGCAACAACATTGTCATCCCCTATGTAGCCAGAGAAACTCAGGAGAGTTTTCTCCAAGCATGACATCCCGGTGCATTTCAGACCCAGCAACACGCTCAGACAAAAACTGGTTCACCCGAAAGACAAAACACCAAAACACAAACTAACAATGTGGTGTATGCTGTACAGTGCAGCGAGGAATGCTCAGACCTCTACATTGGAGAGACCAAACAGCCACTTCACAAGCGCATGGCACAACACAGAAGAGCCACCTCCACAGGACAAGACTCAGCAGTCCATCTGCATCTTAAGGATAAAGGTCACTCTTTCGAGGATGCCAACGTTCACATTTTGGACAGAGAGGACAGATGGTTTGAAAGAGGAGTGAAAGAAGCCATCTATGTCCACTGTGAGCGACCATCTTTGAACAGAGGCGGTGGTTTACGACACCAACTGTCTGCCATCTATAATCCAGTTTTGAGTTCCCTTCCCAGACGCCTTAACACCCACTCACATCCTGGGCCAACTGACCTCAGGAATTCGCATGATAAGGTGGGGCCAGGTTTCACAATGAACACACCTGAAACTCTGGCTGATAGGGCTTTGGAGTTGACGTCACGCCGCAATGCATTGTGGGAGCGCGGCACCATTTTCGGGGTCTACGAATCAAATCAAACACACTGTGTTGGAACAACGATTACAAGATGCTTAAAAGCAGCTCAAACGAGAATGGACTGTATAGAGACCGATTGCGTCCAGAGGCGAAGCGGCGGTACTTGCAGAAAATAGCGTGCATTGGAAATGTGGACCCGTATGAAATACGGCCGTGGAGTAGAAACCCTGAAGACCAACCGCTATTGACGTAGCCTGACATATTTCATACCTTATCTGTGGAGTCAGCGCGTACAAGTCGTCATTCAAACAAAGGTAAGTCAGCTCGAGTACTGCGTGTGAAATGCGTTTGATTTCCCTGCAAACATTCACATTAGTGCAGCATAAATTCATTCATGAGGGGAAATTACAGTGAAAACATGTGGAGGCTGTTAGGTGGATAACATAGTGAGTTCAGTGCATTGATGTGACATTGTCCTGAAGGATTTAGTTATTCTCTATGGTTAAAGAAATTGCAATGATTTATTAATGTTTATTATAAATAATTCTAATTATACATCTTGCTTCCATGTTTGTATCCTGTGTCACTAAAAATACATTTTATTTTAGTTTTATACATTGATTAATGACCTGCAGAATCTCCTTATCATATTAAGTGATTCATAATTGTCACTTTATGCTTTCTCCATCTCTAAAGTGATGACATCCTTCCATTACATACTTTAGGTTCATTTTCTGCAGGCAGGTTTCTGACAGAGAACAGACAGATTTAGACTATAACCTGCAGCGTTCTATAGATGGACACATAAAGAAATGCATAATTACATGTATGTGCTAACTTTCTAGACACTTTGTTACATTTATGATAAAGTAGATAAAACACATTTGTGTCGGCCTTGGCTCATAGTTCTTGTCTTTAAATGAACTTTGTCTGTGTGTGTTTCAGGTGTTGCTCTCTCAAAGACTGAATGAACCAGCATTGCAGCCATGGGTCACTGTGAGCATCACAGGGAAGGTTGAAGTCGCCCACTGCAGCTGTATGGCCGGAGTCGCAGAGCCCTGCACCCACGTCGCTGCTCTTCTGTCTAAAGTAGACGGAACAGTGTTGATCCGTGGCACAAGGACTGTTACAGATGAACCTGCATACTGGGTTTTGCCTGGTAATATGACCAAGATACAGCCAGAGGTTGGCCATAAGAGAGACGACTTCTCTTCAGCTGCCCAAAAAAAGGCTCTTGATCAAAACATAAACAGACCATCTGTAGTGACCGGTAAAAGGAGCCGTCCCCAAAACAGAAAAATCCCACCTGCTACTGTGGAGGAGTTGTTACTGCTATAATGCCATGTTTTATCTAGGGGTCTAGATTTATGCCTGTAGTGCACTGCTGTGTAAATAATTTGCATTTACTGAATATGTACTGACTGAGTCCCACTGTTCAAAAGTTGAATAAAGAAACAAAATAATTTTGCCTTTTTTTTAAAATTAAAACCACTTTATAGAGCATCACATCAGTAACAGTGTAAAATCCATATCATTTACAGTTTACAAATGACAAAATGTTTACACCAAATCATGAGTGTTTACATGATATCACCCACTACTAACGTTACTTTATTTACTGTATCTTTTGAAAAAATAACAGCACAAGACTTAAGAATATTTAACAGGAGCAGGTTTCATTTTTCCCTGGTTTTACTACCACACTGTTCACTAAACGCAGCAAACCTTCACCATCTTATCCAGAAGGGTCACCTCTTCACCCTCACATGGAAGAAGTAATCTGATTGGCATGGTGGTTTGTTTGAAGCAGGTCCCTTGTGTAGCGCTGGAACCCAGTCATGATGTTTCATCCATTTCATCGGCTGGTTTGCTGCAATAATGGCAAATAATTAGCAACTCTATAAATAGAAGGTAGTTCTGCAAAATCACTCAGTAGGATGTTTGTTCTAATTTGCTATGAGCTCAGAGCGCATCGAAAATGAAACTAATAGGCTATAAAGAGTGATATGAACATATAGAACTTACCGGAATGAAAATGTCTGGAGCACCAACAGATATTTGGAGATGGAAGAGAACTGCACGTCAGCTCGTCTCACAGCTGCTATCCAGGCTGGACGCCTTCGTTTGCTAACATCGA